TTAATGTTATCTCACTATCTTTATGATTTTTAAACAGTACAACAATCAACTATCGATTTTTTCATGTTACGGTACGTATTGTAACTGTTTAAATAAACGTAGATAAGGTGTGGTTAGGTATTCAACATTTTTTTATAATTTTTATACAAACAATAACAACTGAAATACTCCATTTCTTCCATAGTCGTTGAAAACTCTTAAGTTTTTATTTGACCACTGAAGCATTCCTGAGATAGCGCCGCAATGGAAATTAAAAAAAAGCACTTGAGAAAGAAATAAAGAACACCGGGTAAAAGTTTGTTCGGGACGCGGGGGCAGATTTAAAGTAACATTTCTTACGAAGATTTCTTTACTCTTTTAACTGGATCCTACAACTTTTTGTTTTATTTAACTCAGATAGGAAAATACAAAATGCATTGGAAATTTAATACTTCGCGGGACGCCATTTTAAACGGGCGATTTATTAAATTTAACAAAATGGCCGCCAGAATATGCGTACATTTACGAAAACGTCAATACCGACAAATTTCACCCGCCCCGATGCAGGTGGAATACTATTATATTTTTTTCATGCCCACTGACCACCCCAAAATAGTTGGGGGCGAGGGGGAATAGTTGGGAGGGAATGCGTGACCTCAACCCCACCCCTGTATGCCACCCCATCACCCCCGGCGAGGTCGGTGGGGAAGCAGGGGATGGGTGGGCGAGGGGAGATGCACTTACCATGTGTGCACGCAAATTCATGTCCAATAATTTAAATTTCCGATTGGTATGATTAATTCAAAATTAATGTTATGTATTTGTGAACCTCAATATAAATCGACCATTACGGTGAAAACATTTCTACAAGCATACATATAATTATGTTATACAAGTTATGTGTTTGCAATTTTAAGGTTATGCTGGCATACGTGAGAATACAGACTATCCAACAATGACTAAAATAACAACAATCTTAATTTACTTTTACTCAGACTTCTTTTAAAACATTTAAAACACTATTCACGCGAAACTAGATTTAGAATATTCCAGTAAAAAGATCTTTGCATTTTTCGAGTACACTTTTAAAATAAACTAAAACCTCTTTATTCATTGTGCAAAGAAACTAAAAATATTGTATCAGACAATGCAAGTGTAAAATAATTTTATTTTTAAACTTTTAACAACGTAGAATATATCTATTGTATTTATTGTAACATGATGTTATCTTTTTTAACTTTATTAAATTCGTTAGTTAAAATGAATCAAACGCGTCATTAACTGAGAAAACATGCGGTAAATATCCGTATAACAAGTCAAAATGGCGTAAGTCTGCGTTCTAAATTCAAAAATAAATTCGCAACATGCGCGCTCCGTCGGATCGTTGTTTTAAATTCGACATCGCAATACTGCGTCGTAGATATTGCATTTTTATATTCGATATACGTTTTTATTTTTTTATCGCTTTTTTTTGTGCACTTGTTTAAATTGAACTGTACTTTCGTTATCTTTCTTTCGACTTTTTATTTTCTATTAGAGTTTCCTTTGTAACTGGCCAGTTTTTATATTAAACAAAAATATTCCGTATTTAATAAATTTACGTAACTCTAGTGTTGTAAATGTATTGAAAATTAAGTTTAAGAAACATTCCAGAAATTGTCATCATTGTCTTTATTTCTTATTTATTAAAAAAAAATGCTAGTGCCGTAAAATTCGCAAAATGTGTATTATTTTTTTAATCTGTAAGCGAAATCGGGTTTGAACGATTCAAGAATGCACAAGACCTACGCGCAGTCAAAAGCCGGGATAGCTGGGAAGTACTTTTGTATGTAAATCAAATGCGTAGGCCAAGCAACGAGCACGGGGCTTTTGTAACTGAACCTAGTTTTCGATAGATACAGCTTGTTTGTTTTTAAATGTTGGGAGAAATGTGCCAGTGTCAATATTTTTTTATTTCCCAGATTTGATACAGATATAAAAATTGATACTGACTTTTCAACATTAAAATAATAGTTTATATATTTTTTTAAACTAAACCTACTTCTAGGTTCGATTATTTTTTTAAAATCTATACTTTCATAAAATTCCGTGTATAGCTTTTTGTATTGCTGTTTATGTGATTCCTAGCAAGCAATAGTAGGATAATAATTAATATTTAGTGTAGTAAAAAATAATTACAAATTAAAATGTATAATTTCAGTACAAAATAACATGCAAATTAACACACGATAAATGTTCTCAGAATCCGCTCAGATAGCATCCTTTAGCCGTTGAACATCGTTCGAACTGTGCTAAGGCAAACGCCTTTCCCTTCCTTACATTTATTCATAGAGAAATAACAAAAATAGCCATACAACAGCGTCCAATTCACTTTGGGCCGCCCCGTCCCCCTCTTGTTACTCAATTCTCGAGCCAAGAGAGGTATTGCGCTAAAAGCAACGGCTCGTTTTATAATGGTCGACTTAGCGCGTAGGTTGTATAGGTTGAAAAATGGTTGTCTGGCCACAATAGTATAAGGAACGGTGAACCCGGAAGAAATATTTTCTATGGGTAAGATTTAATCTGGTGTCCAGTTGGATCTTACAGATAATGTGCTTATCGATTTTTTTAAACCTATAAAAACTTATTACATTTTAATTAAGAATTTTAATAATTTAATCGAACATTAAAACTATGATAATCTTGTAAGTTTTTTTTATTAACTTAAACATTATTAAATAAACTAATAAAACAAAAGTAAGAAAAACAAGAATAATTAACTTAAAATATAGATCTAACTGTTTATTTATTTATTTAATTTAAATATTATTTTTCTTGGTCAAAACTTTTCCAATTAGAATTTTTCTTACGCATTTTTTTAAATCTCATACGATTTTGAAAAAAAAAACACTGTCAAATAAGAGAAAGTGTTTCAGTTAAACCAATTCTTTTTAATTTTTCGATAAAAACCCCAACAGTTTATTAATAATAGTACACATAATAAATAGTACACCCGTACTTTTAGCCAACTGGCCCAATAAAAGCCATACGATATTTAGTATCAATAAATATGAGTGTACCGTTAGTGGCCGATTAGCTATACCCGACGTGGATGGCAATATTTCTATGCGATTCGCCATGTCAATGGCGATCGTAATATATCTATCCCCGTATTCAGATAGGGTCGCCATTTGCATTTCATTCTTTAGATGGTTACTTGAATATTTGAATAATGTTAACCGTCTCAAACCTTCCGATTAAATTGTTTTTTTTTAATAAGTTTATTATTTATAATTGTTGAATTAAAACTAAATTCAACATTTAAATTTACAATTAAAAATGTGAAAATTTGCTTAAGAATTATCGCCCACGTTTATTTAAGAAAGTATATATAAATGTCTGTGTTATTTCAGGTTATTTTCTGTATAAAGGAAATTTCATCGAAGTTCTATTGGACTGTTATGGAGATACTTTTCAATAAACATCCATCCATTTAAAAATTCGCATTTAAAATTAGTAAGAAATATCGTTGTAATGATAGTAAAACATTTGAAAGCTCTTTAAACAGTCCCTAAGTGTCGCTTTCTTATATTTAAGCTCTAAAGGATACGCTTAGTCACCAATTAACGATTCTTAGTAAAGTCATGTTTTATGTCTTAATAATTGGATTTAATTGTAAATGTTTAAGAATAGTTGGTAAAATTGTTATTCGAAAATTTAAAAACAAAAGCAAATCATTGCAAAAAAGTTGCCAAAACGAACCATATAGTCTTGCAAAATCATTAAAATTGCAAACGATCCCGAATTATATAAAAGTTATTTTTAATATTTAAAAACAAAAATCCATAAACAAGCAGGTCATGCATTTTTAATTTAATTCAATCACTATTCACTATATTCAAATAAATGAATATTTACTCGGAACACCTAAATTTAAAATCATGAATAATGATAAAAAACGAAATCACACTTTAACAATTATAATAAACAATCTAAATATATTATTATGTCTTTTAAATAAACAAACTTTTCCGTAGAATATTGAATACATTTACAAAGTTACATTAGGATATCCATTTGAAAATACTTCCTAAATGGTAACCCTAATCTAGGAAATAATTCAACAATATCTTTCCTTACAAACGCACGCGTATATACGCATTCTTCTCACACAAACAAACACACACAGACACGCGCAAACTATGCAGAACAGATATACACATATCTGTTATACGTTGGTTTGTGTCGTTTGTGTGCGTAGGTGCATTGACCTATGCATTTGCTTGCAGTACAGGCTAAAAGTATGCGTTCACTTTATTATGGTTTTATTTTTAAAATGTTATAGTCCGGTCATCGCTTTCTTTCGTGTTGTGATAGGTCGGGAATTCGGTTTGGCACTCATATATCGGTTATGAGGTTTCTGGAACGTTCTTTCAACTAAAGAATATGCGTGTGTTTAAAAATTTGGCATCTTAAATACACTTCTCGCGTTATACGTTATACACGTATATGATGAAATTATGTATTATACTAGTTGTTGCTCGCGAATTCGTCCACGTGAAATTTAAAAATGTGGCCTATGTTACTCAACGATATTGTAGCTTTTTAATGGTGAAAGAAATTTTGAAATCGGACCATATTTCAATACATACAAAAATACAAATCTTTCCTCTTTATAATATTACTATAAACTAGGTTTCGCTCGCAACTCCGCGGAATTAAAAAAAAAAAAACATAAGCAAGTAGCCTATGTGTTCTTCCAGACAATGCTCTACATCTGTCCCAAATTTTATCCAAATCAGTTCAACCGTTTAGACTATATACTCTAACAAGCATCCATCCATCTAAACTTTCGCATTTATAACATGTCATTTGAGAATCTCTTTAATCTATGACTTTATATACTTTGTGACTTTAAAAAGGATGTAATCCAATACAAGTTAAACGAAAACTGAGTCAAGTTGTCTGTTAAATATAACTCAAAAATCTAGACCCAAAACGATGTATGCTAATGACCTTACCATCTCAATTAATATTTCCAGGAGAACGACCATACAAATGCCATCTACCGGACTGTGGGCGTGCGTTCATACAACTATCAAATCTACAACAGCACTTACGAAATCATGACGCCCAAGTAGAACGTGCGAAAAATCGACCCTTCCATTGTAATATTTGCGGCAAGGGATTTGCCACAGAAAGCAGTCTACGCACCCATACAGCCAAGGTTAGTATCAAAATATATTGAAAAAAATCATCAACATTCATACCATTGGAGAACAAATATAGCAAGAAAAGCTGAATATCAAATTTCATCAAAATATTGTGCAGTTGAATCTTGAATCCATTTGAAAATTTTTGTACATTATAACAATATTAAAACTATGATGTGTTTCTTCATACTTCGCTAGATCTTAAATTATATGTTATGTTTAAAGCAATTAGATATGACAATATTTTTAAATAAAGAGGCATAGCAATAAGGTGTCTTTGAAATTCGTTTGGATACATAAAAACTACCTAACACTTTAGATATTTATAATATTTTGATATTGACATTTTATAAAAAGTCCGAAGACTGGTCTAAATTGCGACAAGTTTCTTTGAGAAAGTGACACGAAACTACTCGTATTGCATTAGTGTAAACAAATTAACATAAAATTACCATAGCATTATGAAATTTTATTAAAATTTTTATTTCGATCTCGTTAATTGAATCAGTTTTGATTATTTCCGTGTTTGGCATTCGATTATTATTATTATTTCTTTAAATGTTTGTAATTCATTATGCTATGATTAGGAGCTGAGCGAAATACGAAAATCGAAGACAATGCTAGCCGGAACCACGGCGGCTATATCTAATGTATGTTATATTTAATATTAACTGATCTAAATTTTGATTTTTTAAGCTTAAATATACACATCGATTACATAAATTAATTTTTCAAAATAACGATTTTTCGCTACAGCCAAATTTAACATCAGTTTCCAATCACGAACGTCAATTATGTTTTCTTCCCCTTTGGCAAATTTTGTTTTCAAAATTATCTTATTGTTGTTTATTTCTATATTTTGTGTTTATTATGAATGTATGCTAATCTTTCGCCTATCCGCATCGCCACCGGGTGCTGAACAGGAGCTTCAGCTGCACCTTGGTGTTTTGCAGCAACACGCGGCGCTGATGATAGGGGGCGCCACCGCCACCCCTTGTCCGATTTGTCACAAAGTCGTATTCGGGGGCGAAGCACTCGTTGAACATATGAAGAACACTCACAAGGACCCCAACGCGTCCGGCGTTGCGAGTAAGTGTCCAGACGTTCGGATACATTTATACAATCCCGTTGGGATAGTTGGCAATTGCAAGGAACGAATTGCAAACAGGAACTTCATCTATTTCGAATAGATCACGTTTCTTTTCGTGTCTTGGTCGTTGATGTTTCTTAGATTTAATATTATTTATAAGGTAATCTCTTTTGTTTAAGGCGTCAAATTAAAATGAAAAAGTACTTAAATAAAATAGAATTGTCCGTTTTATATCGCATTCTAAACAAGAGAGATTTATTAGTCCGTAAGCCGCGTCACTGGAAGTTTTAGCACTTAAAATGTTGTAGCGACAGAAACATTTGTTGTACTTCCAAAGAATTATTTTACATTGTAAAAGATAAAAGCTTCCAGCTGGCGCAAAGCCATCAGGGGTGTTGGTTTTTACAAAATCAACTGTAAAAACAAAAGTATCGTTTCCACAAACCTTATAGTTTTAAGTTTATCTAATAAGCTAAGAAACCATTCGAGGGAGCGTCGTATTGTTCCAGCATTAGTGGGGTAGAGTGTTTTGCAAACATTTCTCGCAACCAACGACAGATTCCTCGGATGGCGTTCAAACTTTATTATCATAACATGTTTTGTTTATATTTAAGTTAATGTTTTCGACGTTTCTAGAACTATATGGCATCGTCGGCGTAATTGTTACGATCGATTTGTTTTCGTTATGATTTCCCCATTAGCAATCAAAACAAGTTTTTGCTGACAGAAATTTTCCTACGGAACTAGTCATCGTTTCGATAGCAGCTAAAATATCGCCCATTATATTTTATTGTCCTCCTCCAATAAAAGTAATAATTTACTTGTTAGTTTTAGTTAGTCTTAAGTCGTTAGATCATTCGCTAACATGACTAACCTGAGGTTTTTTTTCTTTCCCTCCCCCCTTTAACCCACTAACCTACCCATTCCTGGTGAAAATGGTAGGTCCACCCGCCACTTCACCATACCCAGCGCAAGCTAAACCAATTGATCCTTATATAGCGAAGCGGCGGACTGCGAACCATCCATGCCCCGTCTGCGGAAAGCATTACGTGAACGAAGGTTCCCTGAGAAAGCACCTCGCCTGTCACCCCGAGACCCAGCTCACAAGCAGCCTACGAATGTGGCCGTGTTCTGTCTGCCAGGCCGTCTTTACACATGAAAATGGTAAATATAAAGATTTGTTTTAGCAGCACATACACTATAAAGAACGAAAGACATTTCGATTTTTTAGCAACTATAAATGTTAGTTTTGTTGACACTATTGCATTTACAAAGCCTTTCCATTTTAATTTGATATTAAATTATTTCCAATATTTTGCAGGACTACTTTCCCATATGGAACACATGAGAATGGAACCTAAACATCAATTCGCCGCCCAATACGTGTTGTCGCGAGCGGCGGCCGAGCGCAGGGAGCGGGACATCCTGGCCGCCGTGTCCGCCTCCGCCGGCGGCTCCGGCCTGCTCAACCTTGCCCCGCCCTCTCCCACACACTCCGACTCCTCGTCTAACGGACGACTTTCTTCCTCCGCCGGCTCAGAAGCCGGAGCCACAGTAAACAAACTCTCAGACTTGCTCAGATCGAACAACGGGCAAGCGTACGGTGACGAAAGAGTAGCGGCCATAGCGGCCGCCGCCGCCAACATGATGGCGCAGCCTGGAGAAGGAGCGAATGCGGTTCAAGTGGCCGCTGCTAACTTAGTATCGGCGATGAGACAGCAATTAGCAAGAGAACCGCCACCAGAGACACCGGCACCCAGCGAGGCGACACTTCGCATGCAACAGGCTGAAGCGTTGCTCAGAAGTCAAGCGGAAGCTCTCAGATTAGCAGTGTCCCAAGCCGCCGCAGCTCACAACACCGAGCCCCCAAGTCCACTCAGACACAACGGAGGTTTTCCAACGCCGACTAACGACGCCAGTGGTCAGCTATCGCCAGAGCTGGTGGAAGCGTTTAGAATGGCTCAAGAACAAAGATTGGAACAAGCACTGCGATTGCACGATCCGAGAATGCTTGGGTTTAACATACCATCCCCGCAGCAAGTCGCTCAGCAGGCTGCCCAGCAAGCGGCACAACAAGCTGCTCAGCAAGCTGTGGCCGCTCAACATGCTGCACAAGCCCAAGCGCAGGCACAAGCACAAGCGCAAGCGCAAGCGCAAGCACAAGCACAAGCACAAGTGCAAGCCGCCCAACACATGCAGCATTCCTCGCTGCAAATGGCGCAGGCGCAGGCGGCGCAGCAAGCCGCGCAACAAGCGGTCCACCTCCAGCAAAACCCTCAGCCATGAAAATTCAGCTATTACTAATCCGACGCAATTTCGTTTCAGCGTTAAACTAAAATAAACCAGTTTAGTATACAAACCAAAAGTAAATAAGCTATATTTTCGGATGACAAATTTAATTTTTTTCGGTGCGAAGCGAAATCGCCTCAGATTGGTAATCGCTTAACGTTTTTTTTACAACAGTTCAGTTACGGAAATTCAAAAGGTACAGCATTTCGTTTTATGAGTCGTTCGGAAATTATACAATGTTTGTCTATTAGTATTTTAGATAGGAATAACTGTTGTAAATAGAGAAACGTATAGTCAGGGACATTATTGTGTACATGTATATAAAAAAAATGTTTAAAATTATAGTCGAATGAACAATATCGGAACAAGAAACTCGCCCGAACAAGTAATTAGAATTAGAGAGAGACCTGAGACAAACAAATTCAGTGCAATCTTCGATTTACTCGTTTTGGTTATTATTGAGTGTTTATTATTGAAATATATTTATTTTAAATAGCTTTACAATAGAGCTATGTATTTCTTAGCTTAGTACAAACTTTTGGATGTGCCAAACTGTTTATTTAGCACATTTCTCTCGCATTTCGAGAATTCTTTGCAATACTTAGTTTCCATAGATATTTTTATTATATTTAAAATTGTTTTTACTATTATTTTTTCATGCAATAACACGTCTTATGCTAGTCAAATTTAGAACGCACAAATATTCTATTTTTATTAAATTCAAAATTATTTTTATCTACTTTTCGGGATACGCCTTTACATTTTAATTTATATTATTTTAAAATAAATGCCATATTAGTACTAAATGTGTACATAACTTAGGCATATTATTAAAGCTTTTGTTATTAACATATATTAATTTAACAATATTTTCAAGAAATCAATTATTTACAGTTGTAAAATGAATATATTAAAGTTTTTATTTTATCAGAAGACTGCCGTTACATTTGTGTGTAAAACTTTACTATTAATTGATAAAAAAACCTACAACAATGATGATTGATTTTTGAATCGATTATCGATTCAACAATCGTGACGTAATCAATGACGTCAGTCGAAAATAATTTGGTAATTCGACAAACATTTGAATGGAGTACAGTTAACACGGGACATTCTTTCCATCACCAGAAAGTTACAATAGCCCAAATATTTATTTTTCACTTTACAAATCAAAGTAAAATCTACAATAGCCCGATTGATCAATAAAATGATCATTTAAAGCATTTCGCTTTTAAACATTTAAAGCAAACTTTAAATGTTGCCTTTACAATAGTTCCGTAGTTCACAAGAATTGCAAAATGTGTACAACGAAATTGCAATGCGGTGTACAATTTTCCAAAATGGTGTACTATTTTCCAAAATGGTGTACAATTTTGCAAAATGGTGTACGATTTAGCAAAACGGTATACAATTTTGCAATTTTTCCCAGTAAGAATGTCAAGTGTTGCCGAATATTAATTCTTTTAATATTATCATCATGTATTATAAATAAGTGACAATTAGCGTGTATAATATCGTTTTTATACAATTTTATACACGTTATTTGTAATACGTATAATCGTAAAATAGGTAAGGTAATAAGTAAGCTGATTTAACGTATATAATTATTTCATTCTTGAATTAATATTGGTATCCTTGTCACAGTAATGTATCGAAACCCATTCCCGGTATCGAGCAGCTTTGTTAAGGGATATCAATGTAAGTAGGAAAAAAATCACAATGCAATAGCCCAAAAAGATCTTTATTATTTACGTCTTTCGGTTATGGAAGGGAGTTTTAATTGATGATTTTTTTTTCAAGTTATCGTAATTTATTTTTGAAATACAAAACTTTTCGGCGAATTTTTCTTATGATTTGGAATGAAACGGCCAGTTGTTGACGCGAAGGATTACCCGATGAAGATTCATTTTTCTAGGAAACGTGAATATATATATCAGATTTATTATACGCAAAACCAATAAAAATTCGACTGACAAAAATTGAAATGGCGAGTAAACAGATAATGTTTTGTTATCGCCCGCAATAAAACACAAATGATTGCTATTTATGTAAAAATCTCCTGATAAATTTAATATATAAATAAATTTAATATAACAACAAAAGAAGTTCCTATGAATATTGTATAAATGGTATTGTTTTAACTTTAGGTCATAGTAGAAGGAAAATTTTATGGACGTTTGGTATTTTTAAAGTTATAATTAATATAACATCGTGTTAGGGAACTAGACTCGTCTGATTTCGAGTTGTACAAAAGTAAAAAAAAGCACGGATCATGAATCCTAACATTAGATATTTAGAGCAAAAGTTACGTTTCCAAGAAAGTGTTCATGACATCACTTCTACATATTTTCGCGGCGTAAAAATCTAGTTTTAAAAATATTTGTAAAAAAAATTAAAAAAAATTAAATACTATTTTCGACAGGACGGAAATTTTGCTATAAGATTTTTTGAATTTAAACAAAATTATTTAGGAAACCGAATGTACAGGCCCGTCGCGCGGATATGTGGACGTAATTGTTTTTCTGTGATCATCGAAAAGGAATAGTTAATAAAAAATAACAGATCGTGTCTGAAAGTTGTCAGAGGTTATGTTTAAGTTTTCGACAGTTAAATTTTTTAACGTTAAAGAAAAATCGAAAAATTTTTTCTACATTTATTTTATGATAACAAAAATTTCTTAGATAAGCTGTGTACATTTAATACGATAAAGCCTAACTAATAATAATTGGGCGATAACAGCATCGCTTATGTGTGAATTTGGGGAGACTTTTTACTGTTTTTTAATAGTAAAAGTTTTCCTTGAGTTCACATTTTAGTATCAATAGTACTGGATTTTGTTGAGAACAAAATTTCCCAGGCGGATGTTACCGACTCCGCCCATTTCACCACAATGCGCTGTTGGCTTGTTTCCATTGTCGAATGGTTGTGACACATACTGTAATATTATTCTTTGATTGGCAATTTACAATTTAAATTTGATAATTGATCATTGTTTTAACTAGTTACGTTATCGAAAAACACCTATCGCAAAGAAAACATTTGTTTAAATGACATTCAAACTATGTCAATCATTACTGAACAAAAAAACCAAAACATTTTCAAACAATTCACGACTCAAACATTTAGTTAGTAATACTAAAAACAGGAACTAACTAGACATTGAAATTTAAAAAAAAATAAAAAATATTTTTTGTTAACCCAAAGTTATATCTTGTCTAAATTATTGAAGTTTTAAAAGTTTTTTGTCTATTTTTTCTTTACTTGAAATTGACAGATGGTGTTTTTCGACAAATTGTTTTGTATTGTTACTCCTACTAACAAAAAAGTGGGAAAAAAATCAAATGAGAAATTTATAACTTGTGTAATAAAGATCAAATAACTACACTTTAAATACATTATCCTCAAAAAGTTATAAGTTTCTCAGATAAATACTTTCGCAATACATTTGCGATTACATTACATTCTTTATTTCATTAATTACTGCAAAATTTTTACACATTACATTATTACACCAACGGGTAAACAATGTTTTACACATATTTGACATTTTACAATTTTGTGTAAAAATTTTACAGTAAAATTGTTAAGTTTTTAATCAAATAACTTGCTGTTGATTTAAATTAAGCATCCTAATTGACTGTTAATGTTTTCTTTTTAAAGCTTTGTCGTTTTTGTTGTTTATATTGGGCTTGTTTTATTAAATATTAGTCAAATATACAAGTTTATTCGTAATTATAAGGTAGTCAGGATAGCCAGGTTTTCAATTTATCTCACATAGTAGTTATTACATGTATCTTATATTGTAAGTTAGCATAATTAATGTAATGTAATACGGGGACTCTTTTATAAAACAAACAAAAAACTTTGAATGTTTGTTTTTATAAATAGGTCCGTATAACATAGACTAAGTATAGATAATGCTCTGAACGATTGCTTAGTCTATGTTACGTAAGTAGTGAACAACGAAATAAAAAAACATAAATACAAAAAAAAATCCGTGTACTTACTTAAATGTCATAGATAGTGGGGTTTATATCGGTGTTTTTGTGTAGGGATACTTCTGTCCCGATGATGTGTCACAACCATTTTTAGATGAAAACACTTTTTTTGTAATTTCGAAAATGCTAACCACAAACTTTTTGAATAACAAAATTGACATATGAAACTGTCTCGGCGAAGAAATTAATAAAAAATGTAACATTGTTACTTTAAAATTGGCCAGCGGTGCATTTATTTTTCGTCTATGTTATTGTATGCCTAGCCTCTATAATGTCACATAGAGCAATTGTCGTTGTAACAAAAAATTATGTTCATTTATTTTCAAAATCATTATCCAAATCAATTTCTTCAATCTTGTGTACATTTTTTGGATTTTACACAAATTTACACTGTTTAGATAATCAATTTTGTGTAATTATTTTCGCAATTTTGTACACAATGTAATTCAACTTTTCGAATCATTGTATTCTAGTCTTTATTTACTTTTGTAAATTTTCTTATTCTTGTGATAGTGTCGTGAATTATTTTCTGAATAAAAAACCAAAATTTGTAATAACGAACACTTGAAAATGTAAATTAAATTGGAAACGATTTAGTGTAAAATAAATTCAAAATTAAGTAATATATTTCGGCGTAAAGAAATTGTAAAATTCGTTTTAGACACTAGAATAAAATATGATTAGGTAGAAGTCAAAATTGATGTTTGGCAAATATTATGTAAAAAATAAATAAAAGAAAAAATGTAAATAATTTTAGGGATGTGACGTGATATTAATAATACACAGGGAGATGGCTCAAGCTGTCATATTTGTTCTAAAATAGCTTTTATGGCGATGCAATAAGGTTGAGGACAGCTTGAGCTGTGATCTGTTACTACCTAATCAATGTAAGTGCGAGGGTTTTCGGAAGCTACGATATGTTTAGTAAAAAACACTAAAAATATCAAATTTATATTTCTCAGTTACAAAAAAATTGGACAGGGTTTGTTGAAGAAACTTCGTACAAACTAAACAAAAAGAATAAAATAAATTCAAGTAAAATCAAAAGAAATCTCTGAATTGCACTTGTATTCATAGAAATTACTATGAAAATCCTAACGTACATTCCGGCAGCCCTCGCTATAAGGTGAACGTAAATATGTTTTGGAATTAAATAACTAGATATAACAGAAACACGACAGTTCAATGTTCTTGTTTTTTTAGAATGTATTTTTGTATAGAGTTATTTACCCAATTATAAGTTTAATTGATTTAATTAATAATTAGAAATAAATTGATGCCATGTTTTATTTTTACTAATTATTTCAGTGTTATGCTGTACTGTGTTTATTGAATATTATATTTTTTATATAAAAGTTATTTTTTTTTGTACTCGATGCGTAGTCAAATCGTATGAAATGCTATGTAATTAATAGTTAAGTTTTAGCGTTGAATTATTTTAAGCAATATTTTTTAATATCTACTGTTTATCGAACAAAAGATTAACAACATTTAGTTTTTTTTATAAACTATGGTTTTATTTTTAACAACGGGAAATGCTTATTGTGTCATTAAAATGAGAATAGTAACTATTATTGCCGAAACGGTTAGCTATAATTATTTTAAAAA